TGATGTGCTCGTCTTGAGCTTATGGCGATGGAGGCCCTTTTCAGCCTAGGGCTTCTGATAAAAATCCAAAGGGATCTTGATATCAAAACCCAGTCGTAACATCCTCAAACAGGAAAGTCTTCTTAATGGGGATGGGGAACCCCATTTTGGAAGCAGCAAGGTGGACTTCTTGGCCATGCAGGCAGCCATATTTAATTATGTGCTGATGGAAACTTCTTCTATAAACCATCTTTTGAAGTATCAGTTTTGTCATGGAGAATGAAATAAAGGAAAAGTATTTTTTTTAAAAAAAGAGAAAGGTTCCTCCCCTTCTCTTTCATGTTGAAAAGTATTTCTACCCATATTTTATCCAGCTCTTTTAAATTGTGCTTGGTGGTCTTATTCCTTCTCCTTCAGCTCACACGTGTCATACCTCTGAACTTGTTTGAAAGTAGAGTATTAGCAAGTTCCAGTGAATCGGATCTCTAGACCCAATGAGACTTGATTTGTAGAAAAAACAGTCCCTGCTTCCCTTCCATCCATGGCAACCCCCCAAAGGAATGTGGGAGCATTTTCAGAGCTGCTTTTTGAAGGGGTTAGAGAGGGAAGAACAAGTCACTCTCTAGGCATTGTTGGGATTCAGTTCTCATCAGCATGCCCAATGGCAATGGTTGATGGGAGTTGTCATCCGGTGACACCCTAAAGTTGTTCCCATTCCCATGCTTCTGTTAGTCTTGAGCTAGGGTTGGGGAGATCTCAGTCTTCAAAGCCCTGCTTGGTCATGAAACTCACCTAGTGACTGAGCTAATCACTGCCTTTCAGCCTAAAATATCACACAGGATAATAAAGGGTGGCATGTATGTTGCTCTGGGGAAAATTTAGGCTAAAAATGTAGTACAGTCAGCCTTCTGTATGCATGGATTTCTTATCCATGGATTCAACCATCTACTATTTGGAAATATATATATAAATTCCAAAAAGCAAACCTTGATTTTACCATTTTATATAAGGGACACCATTTTACTCTACCATTGTATAAAATGAGACTTTAGCATCTATGGATTTTAGTATCCACAGCGGGCTTGGAACCTAACCCCAGTGGCTACCAAGGGCCAACTCTAGTTTTGAATATGGGATGGTGGTGGTGGTAAGAAGCATTTATCCCCTGAAAGAGCCATAATCCTCTTTCTTCAGGTTTCCATTAAAAGAAGCACATC